TATTTCACTGAGTAGTTAGGTGTAACAGTTCGGTGTATAGGTAGGTAGGTACGCTTAGGAATTCTATGAGACGCAAAAAACTGTATCAAAGAATATGAAAAATTGGACCTATGCGCATTACGACTAATACCATAAACATAGCGAATAAAAAAATATCTATTAAAATCAAACTGAGTGCTTGCATACCTAGTTATGTTTTAACCATCGGCACTTTGATAATGCGCCATCAAAGGATTTGTACTTACTTCTCAAAGAAATTTGCCGCTTTTCGAAAGTACATGGTCATGCTACACGCGCCGGCGGCGGCTTCTTTTGAAATCTAAAACAATCGTTGCCGCCACGCCGAAATCATAACATTTGACAGTATTTGATTGCCGACATAGGGCGTAGGTATACTCATGCAAAATAATTTCGAATTTTAAGAGTACCTACCTACAGGAAATGAAAATAATGAATGAATACATTATACTGATCACGCAAGTAGTATTATGATTAGGATAAAATGGTAATGATAGGTAGTAGATGTCATATTAATTCATTCTAGTAAGTATACAATATATTATAATATTGATTACTTATATGGTTTTTAACTAATTACTTAGGTACTATTATTGTACATTTAGTCATTATATTTCTTAAGTTTTTACAAGAAAAAATAGTGTTACGTGCCTGACGTCACGTTCCTGACTATGCGGGCTTGGGTTACGGGATTGGATGAAATGAAACACTAATACCGGTTTTCAGACTTTCTATTGCACTTAAGTTACAGCGTCCACGGAGTTAAGTTATCGGCGTTCCTCTCCAGCAGAGTCGGGGCGACTGACACAAACTTCCGTTTGCCGCTCACAGTTCACGCTGACTTTTACTTAACTCACTGCACTTCACTATTTCACTGCACTTCACTATTTCACTCACTTTTCTTCTTTTTCACTTCTTCCTTTTCTTCCGAATCGCTTTGGACTTAGAACTCAACTGCCAGCGGTGAGCCACAGTTCCGCTTATATACCCCCGGTCAGGTTCTGGAACATTCAATTTCGTTATTCTTTTTTTATCGTCATGCCTCCAGAACCTTCCAATAATTTCGTTATTCATTTTTATTTATTCTCCTTCTCGCTCTTCACTTTTTCATTTCTTTCACACAAATAATTCCAGAAAGTTCGACAAAACTTCCATCAACTAAAAAACTTCATGCTTACGGCGGGACTCGAACTCGGGGTCTCTGTGGTGTAATCCACGCGCCTTACTGATTACACCAACTCGTGTTGACAATTCACGACGAAATTTACAATCTCTAGGCAACGTTTGACAACCATCCATTGACGTCATGATGTCAAAGAGTTTGAACCACTTTTCCGTCACAATAGCAAAAAAGTGTTCAAATATCACCCGTTTAATAAATATTGTAGCCACTTTTAAATATACTTGAAACTGCTGAGATGTTATTTTTAACCGACTTCAAAAAAGGAGGAGGTTCTCAATTCGACGAGTATTTTTTTTTTTTTCTAAAGCATCATTAGTAATTAGAAAACATAGAAATAGGTTAAGTGATGAGTCAGCCAGATTGTTACTTTGTATTAATTCTTGATCAAAAAAATTGATATAAAGTATCATAACCTAATGATAAAGCTGTTGAATCGTGTTGTATTTTATTTTTTATTCAAATAAATGATATATTGTAAAACTCATTTATTAAATTTCTTATAAGTTGAGGGTAATCTCTTTCTAGACAGATAAGTATTGTTCTTTAAAATACAGTCAAGTTATTGTAATTAATTTGTTTTTTTACATGTTTTAGCAAATGTAAGCTTATAAATCATAAATGTTTATTGAGAAACAGTTACTTCCATGGAAAACGACATATAGATCTGTTGATTTTTTGAATTTCTTATCAAATCTTCAGTTATTTATTAATCTGCTTGATCTTTACTATGGCTATGTTAATTCAAGCTCACAATGTTCCAATTCTAATACGTTTTTCTAAGATTTAAAGTAAACTTTAATAAATAGTAATAGACTAATAGGTAATTGCAAGACTTGCAAGACTCTTGCTGCAAGACCAAGACCAAGACCAAGACCAGGTGTATTGGCGCAAGACCAAGATCAAGACTGGCTAAGTCTCGTCTTGTTCTTGCATTTGGGCAACACTAGTTCGGATACATTCCATTCCCACATATACTCGTATGTTTGTAAACGCACCCATGATCTGGGTGAAAATCCTAATGTGGGGTACAATTTTTTATAAATAGCTTATGTATGTATTGACAGTCTTTCCATACTTAAGCTGGGGTTGCGGGTCAAGCGCAATGTACCGCGGTCAGTCTGACACTTGCACTCGACCCACACAGGGATAGAGAAGTCATTTGATGATTGCCTCCCCCCCCCCTCCCCATCAAAAAAGGAAGATACGGAGTATTTAATATTGTCCGATAAGAAAAAACAAAGAAAAAGGATCAACAAAATCGCTTTATACACGACGAAGAAGAAACTGCAGCTAAAAAAGGCATATCCGAATTTCCTTGAGCAACATTGTATGACACCAAAATCAGCCATCTTGTTTACATCTCGTCAAATATAAACTCACTATATATCCCATCTCCGTAACACGACACTAATACGGCCCCACGGGTTCGCAAACTTTAAAATGAACCATTTCAAAACAATATCTGACGGAGATTTCCCCACGGTCGTAACTTCACATGTGCCAAAATATCAAACGTTACTGCTGCATCTACGCAAAAAATCCTGTAAAATATATAAATATAAACTAGCCCGCTCATATATAGGGTATCTTTATTCATATTAATATTAAATTTTGGGATAATTTAAGTATGGGAGAGTCCAGCACTGGCACGAAAGTGTCGGCTTGACCGGAGTGATGCCACGTCCTCACAGGAAACCAGCGTGAAACAACCACAGCGTTGTGATTCGCCGTGTGAGTGAGGAAGGCCCAATTTCTCCATCCCATCCCTTCTCAATCATTAAATATCCGAAACCCTTATCCCTTATATATCCTTTGGTGTTATGGGTGACCAAGAGCAGCGCCGATTGCTTACCATCAGGTAATCCGCATGCTAGTTTGCCGACCTCATACAAAAAAAAATTCAAATTTAAATAAAACAAGACAGTACATTTTTTATATATCATATCGTAATCTCCTTTATTACAAATTCGGTAACTTCTGTTTTGAGTCATGATAGCCTGCGCACAATATGACTTAAAGATTTGTATTCCACAAGGCGATCGTTTATAATTAAACAATAAGCAGTTGTATTGTCTGGTATTAATGTTGAACATTCAAATTCCAACCTTACGTCTACGGGGCCAGTTTTTGAACAGTCATTTTGCCTTGAACAATCTATGATAAAGATTGGTGCATTTTCTTTAAAATCATTCAGATCCAGCAACGGATCGACCGGGCTGTTATAATACGACTGACGAAATTTCACATACCTACATTTCATATAATATACTGTACTTGTTTTCATAAAACTTTAAGCCAAAAGGTTCATAAGGGTAATACTGAGAATTCAAAAATAGGGTTACGTTTGTCACATCACAATGATCAAATACTAAAGATACAATTTAAAAATCTGATGTGGCTCCTCAATGTTGACGTACATCAATTAATTGCGAATAAATCCAAGTGGCATGTATCGCTATGGTGTTGGTAGTGTTTATAATAGGGTTGAAATTAAACCACTAATTACGCTTGAACTGCTGATTAGTAAATTTGAACTATGAATCCGAACCCTAAATACAACAGAAATTACATACTTATACTATTTATTGTAACGAAACCATAGCTCGCTTTTAATTGCGGCAACGCTATCTAGTTGCAAAATTTTAACTAAAAATATTTAATATATTTAATAAGGTTTCGTTACTTTGTCCTGGGTTTTGGTCTTCAAGACATGCACACATGTCTCTGTAAAGTTCAAACCTATGCCATGCCCACTGCTGAGCAAAGGCACCTCACACGAAGGCTTGAGCATTAATCACCACGCTTGCTCAAGGCGGATTGGCACTTATAGGTACTAAGAAATTTTAAGTCCAGCTTTAACATGATGTTTTCCTTCACCGTATGCCAGTGGTGTCTTAATAGCCATTGGAAGTGGTTGTAACTCGGGAAAAAGTTACATTGGGACTTGCGGGGGCTTCGAACCCTCACGCATGAGAATCGGACGCTTTAACCTACAGGCCCTCACGACCGTGTCAGTGATATGCATCAATCGGGAACTCACTTAATTAACTGAGACTGACCGACCAACGAATTGCTGAGCACATCTGCGAAACCAATCTACTTTCAATTTGGATGGCCACGGCTGGTCTCGTTCACATCCATTTATATGTAGATTTAAATATACAGAATGTTAACAAACTCAACTAAGAAATTGAACTAGGCGGTTGGCCCTTTATAAATTCACCCGGGGTTGCGGGGTAAGCGCAACGAGGCACCGTGGCCGGCTCAAGCAGGAAAAGGAACGTAGGGGTTTTCAGTTAGGAAGAGCCTGACACTCTCTTTCGCCCTACCCTGGGCCGGAGAAGTCGTTTGATGATTTTCACCTGACAAAAAAGGCCCTTTATAAAGGCTCAGGAAAACAAAAAAAAAAAAAAATTTTTCAAAGTTACAGGCGAAATACTGATTACGTACCCTTGTGGAGTCGTAATTGGCTACCCATTGTAACATTTTCAGTTACCGTGACCCGCTGCTTGGCTCCTATATATCGTTGCATGATGTGTATAGTCATCATTATAACCATCGCTTTCATCGACATAGACTAACAACCACAAAAAAGAATTGTTCAATTCGAACCATTTGTTCCGGAGATTAGTGCGTTCAAATAAACAAAAAAACTACAGCTTTATAATATAAGTTTAAATAGGTATATTACTTTTGTTGATTATTATGTTTGTTGTCAACTATACTTAAAAAAAAAAATATGACGACGTCTGACGCGTTACCCAGCGGGAGAAGTAGTCCCAAAAAAACTTCATGCATTCTAGCACGAGTCTCGGGACAATTCGCCGTTGCCCGATTTTTTAGCTTTGGCTTGAGGCGAGTTCTTGGACGCGACCGAAACCGTGGTTAGGAAACTGGCACCACTCCAGTAATATTCAGGATATCTGTAATTTCGACTATATCGCGTTACTACAGCGGCCTACATGATTACGCAAATTGGCTATCGTAAATAACTTTTATCCAGTCCAACGTATTAGTTTGCAAAATAATATTATCACGCACCGTAAACTTTTATGTGGCAACAAGAATTTTAATTCGTCGATATATTTCATATCATACAAACATCGTATAATTTATCCATTACTGATAAATCGGTCTCGAAATAGCTTTTACAATTCTTATTTCCGAATGAAATATACGAAAATAAGAATTTAGTTTCGACTTTCAAAATAGGTACTTACTTACATTTTTTTTCATCATTTGTAGCTTTTCCGTTTGAACAATAGCTTAGCGATGATTAAAACACCTATAAGTAGCTACTGATTGTGATAATACAACCTGATGACAAATGAAAATATTTGTATACGTCGACCACTGTTTCCGTCTTCCGTATTCCGAGATGTCTGCTTTCCAATAATAATAAGTGTGGGAGAGCCAAGCTTCGGCACGAATGGGTCAGCTCGACCGGAGTGATACCACGGCCTCACAGAAAACCGGCGTGAAACAACCACAATCCTTCCCCACCCCGGACCCTTCCCCAATCCTTAAATATCCAAATCCCTAATCCCTAAAAGGCCGGCAACGCACTCGTAACTCCGTTGCGGGTGTCCATGGGCGGCGCTGATTGCTTACCATCAGATAATCCGTCTCCTCGTTTGTCGACTTATTACATAAAAAAAGAGTGGATAATCATCTGAATCTAGGTATATATGATCCAAATGAGTGCATTGTGGAGACTGAATTGTTATTTTTGTCAAATTTCTGGCGTTATACTAGTACCTAATTCAATACTGAAATATTTCAAACGTACCTTATAGAAAAGATTATAGTAACTACTTTTTAATATTTCCCAGCACCATGCTTTTTGACATGGACTCGAGCCATCAATCAATTATGTACAACCAGACATATGATAATGACCGTATGCTCTTACATTACATAAGTATGTATACGAAGCATATACAAATCATTTACCAAATAGAGACTTCATAAAGAGGGCCGTGATCGGTTCATGATCCGGTTTAATCAGCATAGCCTATAAACATTTTTTTATCACAAATCGCAGCAAATGATAGAATAAGTCGCCCAGCCAGTCCGCGTCAACATTTTTTTTAATAAACCGTTTGATTTCCCTCGTGAAGTCTTGGTTTTAGATTTTAGCTTATAACAGCTATGGCTTTTTTTAAATTATTTTGTTTGATTGCACTTAAATAAAAATGAGTCAGAATGAGTGATTATTAACCTTACTTAGTAGTTAAGTACAGCATCCAGGAGACGGTAGTATTGTTTCTAGCTCTTGGCATGAATGGGACACATAACATGGACCTTGGAGCAATGGTATTGAATTTTATTACACTAGAAAACTAAGAACGTACCACCATCTTGGAAATAGCGAGAAGCTGAGGTGCATTCAAGAAGTTCATCAGTCGACCAAAACGTGCCGGATGCTGGCTCTCTAACTCAAAATGAGTATGCGTCATTGTTGTAGTATTGTATAAAAAATAGCCCTCAATCTCTCTAACTTCTTGTATCTTCTATATCGTTATAAATATCCCTTTATTTCAATAGGCATTATTAAAAATCCAATTATAAGTAACGGCATATAAATATCGTTGACGATAGTGTTGTTGCAATACCTGCCGACACACGAGCAGGCGTGTACGCGCGCAAACAGTGAATATCCTCGTTGAAATGGAGTCAACGCAGCATGAGGACCAACATCACAAGTATAATTTGCTTCTTTCCCAATCGGAAGTTTCTTGTTTATATTTTTATGATCTATCAAGCCACCTTTAAAATTTGACCCCAAACTTCGGCAAGCACGCACAGTAAAGATCTCACTAACATCGGAAAAAAATGTTGTACATCCTTTTGTATAAGAACCCAGCCGGTGTATTGTCGTTCCACGGGTAACTCCATAAGAATATTCATTATGCCAACTATAACGCTTATACCTCCAACGTAACTTATTTTTATACTCCCAGCTATAGTAACAGGCACTCCGAAAATAACTCTTCATTGCTTTATGTCTCCAATCAGTTGATTGGAATGCTGAATGGCACAGACTAAGCGTCGGTGGCTTTTTTAAAGAGGGTATGTCGTCATCAGCGTAGCAAACAAAGCAATTAGCCACATGCCAAGTATTATCCCAAGCTTTTTCCCAACCAGAAGGTTTTTTCCACCTACTGGCATCATTAAAACGTGGTAGTTTTTTACGTAGGAAAGGAAGAAGGCGTGGGGCCACGGTGACCGTGTTACTTTCATTATTGTTTTCGGCATTGTTTTCCCTAACAAGTGAAGGTTCTATAATCTCTGTAGAGCGGCCATCGTCAAAGTCGCTCAAAGGTCTCGTGATGTCATCGTCATCGTTTTCGACCAACATTATTTCTTTACCATTTTTCCTTCTCTCGACACTAAGTATAGGTTCCAAGTCTGGCCTTTGTCTGATAAGAGCATCATACAATGTATCAGTGATGTCGTCTGGTAAATATACGGGTTCAAGAGCATATTCGCTCGGATTTTTGAACATCGATATTTGATAGCAATTCGAACTTTTTAATAATATTAATACACAGAATATTAGTGGAAAATATAAAAGCACCAAATGCCACGTCATTTTGACAAAATAAGAGAGTGTATCATAGAGTAAAGTAATAATACTAAAGTATATAGAGTGCCAACACACTTGCTTCCCCACTTGCTTATTTATCCTGGAGTGGGCGTAAATTGTCCTGAAATCGGGTTTGGTTCGTAATATTTTTACCAGCAACGCGTAATCGAAATATGGCTCTTTTATCTACGGCGGGCTCTTATAATTAATTCGAGGTTCCTTTAAATTAAATCTCCTAAAAGCGTGGCAGTTTTTTAGCGTGGGTAGTCATTAAATGACTTTTCTTCCCCAGGGAGGCGAGATGCAGTGTCAGACTCTTAATGACTAAAAACCATCTCCTTCTTTTTTTATTTTTCGTACAAAAACGTTGCCTCTCTTGAGAATTTTCTCCTGTGTTGTAAGTGTGTTTACAAAAACATACAATGTCACATGTACATGACACCCAGACCCGAGACATACGGAGGCGGTAAGCCCTGCCTGGGCTGAGCACCGCCGTGTCCTCAGGGAAGTGATCGGCGGCGGCGACCTCTCGCGCCCGGCCTTAGTCGAGGCCATGGTGCGGAGCGAGAGAAACTGGGACGCCGTCTCCTCCTTCTGTGAAGCAGTTATGCTCGCAAAGAGGGAGGCGGTCCGCGTGTGGGAGCAATCCTCCTCCTCACGCCTCAGCCGCCACAACAGGCGACACTACGGGCGTCGGGGATCAAGGGACGATCTCCGGCCACCGTAAGCGCGGGTCTGCATTCGGCGAGTAAGGGGAGCTCGCCGCCCGACCAGAAACAGACCCGAGCGTACGGCGCGCAGCGTTTCGCGCTCGCCTTAAAGAGCCAATAGACCACCACAGACGGTGTGTGTCGTCTCTGTGGTCGTTTACTTTTCAGACCCTGTACCAGCACAGAGCCTGCCGCTTCTAGAACCCGACCGGGTTCTCCACCTGGCCAGAAGTTAGCTACGGGTAAGAGTTACTCCTACCATATCACCATCGCGTTAAGGAAACTGTCACCCGCACCCAGTGTACACCACGTGGAGGTGATAATGACACATAATGCATTTACATAGTTATATGCTATTACTAAAACTATTATTAGAAAAGTTGTAAATAAGTAATTTCAGTATATTCTATAAATATAACTTTATTTCATTATGAACGAATATATATCCAAATAAAAGTAACGGTATATGAATGTCGTTGGCGACAGCATTGTTGCAATACCTGCCAAAGCACACGCAGGCGCGGAAGCGCGCAAACAGTGAAATTCCTCTATGGAATGGAGTCAAGGTGGCGTGATGAGCTATACGACAAGTCTCATTTTCTAGTCTCACGATCGGTACTTCCAGTCTTATCAGTCTACTCTCCATCAAGTAACCAATCTTATGTGGCCACCAACCTCGGCAACCACGCACAGTAAACACCTCTCCGACATCCGCATATCTCTTTGAACATCCTCTTATATGGCCACCTAACCGGTGTAATGTTAAACCACGAGTACCCGGGTATTTATATGCGCCTTGCCACAAATAGCGTTTGTACTTCCAAAACCCGCTATTACGATAATCCCAGTTGTAGTAACAGACACTTCGAAAAAATCTTCCCGTTGTTTTATATTTCCAATTATTTGAATGAAAACCTGTATGACATAAATGCAGGACAGGTATTTCTTGACCCCGCCAATTTTGGTAGCAAACGTAACAATTAGCCACCAACCAAGCATCCCCCCACGCGATTGTCTCGTCTGTCTTAAATACGTTAAGAATTTGTCTCCTCGTATTATTTATCATTTTTTCTTTTTTACCAATCAAAGACCTTCCTCGATTGCTTGCTCTATAATAATTGGATTCTGGCACAAGTGCCGGATTTACTAGTTCTGTCTTGCGTCCGTCTTCGAAGTCGCTTAAAGGTGTCGTGATATCATCGTCATCGTTTTCAACCAACAGCACTTGGTCCTCTTCGTCATTTTCATAGTCACTGTTTCCCATCGTCATCCGTCTGCGAAGTTGTGCCTTTCTCTGAGCACTTAGGTAAGGCTCCAAGTCCGGCCTTTGGAAAATAAGAGCGGCGTATGTCTCGTCATCCATGTCCTCGGGTAAAAACACAGGTTGGAGGCCATACGGCGTGGATGGAGAACAATGTGTATTTTGTAAAGTAATACTTATAAAAAATAAAATTGTATGAAACAAAAGACCACAAGAATAAGCCATTTTAAGGAAATGACATATATTCGACAGTTAATAACTTTTTCTTCTATAAACAATAATCTGAAAAAGTTTCTTAGAAGTTGAAAGAAGGTTGTGAAAGTTCCAAAGGTTTAACGAGTAACGTACGTTTTTTCCCTAAACCTTTAAAACCCTAATCCCTAAAAGGTCAGCTATGCACTAGTAACTCGTCTGGCGTTGCAGGCATGGACAGCACGACCGCTCGTTTCTCGAACTATTACATAAAAAAATACTACAACGATATTTCGTATATTGCGTTTTACTACTCAAATACCCTCCGTGCATAAGCCGAACGTTGAAGGTGAATGTAAGTGCTCGGCTCGACAGGAGTGATACCACAACCTCACAGAAAACCGGCGTGAAACAACCACAGTGTTGTGTTTTGCCGTGTGAGTGAGGTTACCGGAAGCCCAATCCCAAAATCCCTAAACCCCAAAAGGTTGGCAACGCACTCGTTACTTCTGTTGCGGTTGTCCATTGGTGGCGCTAATGGCTTACCATTAGGTAATACGCCTGCGCGTTTGCCGACATACCACATAAAAAAAGTCGCTAGGAAACCAGCAAATCCAAATCCTAGCAAGGTTAAGGGGTTTATTGAAAATCAGGGCTTAGTAAGTTAATACTCAACTAATGTAAGTAGGTCCGAATTCACCGTATTGCGCTGGTTCCGCTACCCAGGCCGAACCATCGGCTTAGGGGCTCGCGCGGAACGTTTGTGTCTACTTCTGTTCGGGCAGCGAGCTACCCTTGCTCGCTCCTCTTTCTCCTTTAGGATCATCGCAGTTTGCAGAAAGAGGAGACGGCTTCCCAGTTCCTCGCGTTCTGCACTATGACCTCGATTAAGGTCGGACGCGAGAATCTCTCCGGCGGAGGACACGGCGGTGCTCAGCCCAGCCAGGACACGCCGAAACAGGAACCGAAGCTGCTGTGCCCGGTGAGATAGTCAGTAAAATAGTCCCTTTTTTTGTGAGGAGAAAATCATCAAATCCTGCCCGGGGTCGAGCGCGAGGGAGTACTTACTGATTAAAAACCCCCTTTTCCATCTCCTGCTCTGGGCCAAGGCAGGTCGCGATGCCTCATTGCGCTTGCCCCTCAACCCCGGCTGAACATCAGCCCCATAGGGCCCCGTCTGTGGTGGTCTGCTTTTTTTATGGTTTCGTAGTAAACTAGGAATAAGTGACTGTTAGCAGTAGAAACCTGAAATTTGGCACCGATATGAATATGAATCACGTCGCCAAAGTGGTCAAATAAAACCCCTCCTTCCCTCCCTAACCCTTCTTGTAAAGTAATGTGTGTTTTGTTTTCTTCCTAGCGTTTTATATATATATTGTTGGATAGGTATTTAAAAATGAATACGAGTTTAATAAGATCATTTTTGATAATGTTAATACTATTACGCGAGCCTCCCTCTCTCTTACTTTGAACCATAAGTTTGGGAAATATGTATGAGATCCCAAAAATTTTACTTTGTAAATAAATACTTTGAACTTGTTGGATTGAACTAAACCAATTTATATTCATTTAACTTTATACGCAAATTTAACTTTGTTTATGCTGAACTATCTTCTATCAAATAAAAATGGAATTATTAAAATCGGTTTACGCAGTCCAAAATTAGCACCAAAAACTTGACATAAGTACAATAAATAATTAGCCCGATTCACCCGCCTATCTTTATCTTTATCTTTATCTTTATCTTTATCTTTATCTTTATCTTTATCTTTATCTTTATCTTTATCTTTATCTTTATCTTTATCTTTATCTTTATCTTTATCTTTATCTTTATCTTTATCTTTATCTTTATCTTTATCTTTATCTTTATCTTTATCTTTATCTTTATCTTTATCTTTATCTTTATCTTTATCTTTATCTTTATCTTTATCTTTATCTTTATCTTTATCTTTATCTTTATCTTTATCTTTATCTTTATCTTTATCTTTATCTTTATCTTTATCTTTATCTTTATCTTTATCTTTATCTTTATCTTTATCTTTATCTTTATCTTTATCTTTATCTTTATCTTTATCTTTATCTTTATCTTTATCTTTATCTTTATCTTTATCTTTATCTTTATCTTTATCTTTATCTTTATCTTTATCTTTATCTTTATCTTTATCTTTATCTTTATCTTTATCTTTATCTTTATCTTTATCTTTATCTTTATCTTTATCTTTATCTTTATCTTTATCTTTATCTTTATCTTTATCTTTATCTTTATCTTTATCTTTATCTTTATCTTTATCTTTATCTTTATCTTTATCTTTATCTTTATCTTTATCTTTATCTTTATCTTTATCTTTATCTTTATCTTTATCTTTATCTTTATCTTTATCTTTATCTTTATCTTTATCTTTATCTTTATCTTTATCTTTATCTTTATCTTTATCTTTATCTTTATCTTTATCTTTATCTTTATCTTTATCTTTATCTTTATCTTTATCTTTATCTTTATCTTTATCTTTATCTTTATCTTTATCTTTATCTTTATCTTTATCTTTATCTTTATCTTTATCTTTATCTTTATCTTTATCTTTATCTTTATCTTTATCTTTATCTTTATTGACTTTGCCAGTTACCCCCTGCTGTATCAATATTGGTCAGGGGCAGGGGCCATAGTATTTCCATAGTTATCATATCCAACAGTCATTGCAACCCATACCCATAACCCTATAAATTTTTAACACATTTCGCAATAGGCCTCCATCAACCGGGGATTGTCCTTGGGTGCACTTTCATAGTGCATACAGGGATAATTGCCGGCTGATGTCCCATTTCACTTATATCAAAGTTGTTCAAAGGGCCTCTGCGAGTTATGTCCCATCACATTTAGATTAAAACTGTTCAACGGGCCAATGCGGGTTCGCTTCGGCTCCTCGGACTCCTTCCAAAGGTCCGGGACCCTGTGGTCCCGTGAAAGGAAAGAACAAACAAATGTAAAGTACAAGTATAAAGTCTTGCAACACTAAAACTAAACCTGTCAACATGAAAAATTTTGCACATCTCTTTCAAAATTGAATAATATATATATTTTTCTTCATAAACCACTAACAATAGAAATCAAATCAAACATCTGTACAGAAAAATAGTTTAAATAAATTTTATTTGATTAAAATGAAGCCACGAAATATAAAAAATAAACATACAGTGACAGTGACAGCCATCGTCACTGTAGTGTATGTGAGTAAAAGAGAGGGAAGCATTATGTCATCCCTGGCGCGCGTGCGACCGTTGACAGCTCAATCGCCTATGAGCGGTGCGAGCAAGAGGGCGCGCGCGACTAAGAGCCGACAATATTGAAGGATACACCTTGGATAAACCACATTTTGGCGACGAGGACCATTTTGGTGAGTAATTGTAAAAATAAAAAAGAAAAGAAATAGTATGTGCTATGCATGTTTTAAAAGTAAAATCCAGTTAACAAAACGACTAGTACATAATGTAATAAGTATCAATTTTGTCTTCAAAGCAAAATAAATAAAATTAATAAACTTGTGTTGCTTTGTGACCAAAGAAATAACTTTCAAAGTTTATTCTTTCATAATATTAATTTTCTTATTTTAATACATTTGTTTTTACAATTTTTTATCATTTTTTACTGAAAACAATTACATCAATGGCATGTCAAAATATTTCTTCTTTTTTTTTAACAAAAAAAAACCATAGGTATATAGGTGGAACTCAAGTAGAGATGCTCATTGATTCAGGATGTCAACATAACTTTATAACGAATAAAACGTGGAAAGAAATAAAAGAAAATGTTTTAAAGACAGGAAAAGAAATAAAAAATCCAGGAAAAACATTTGTAGCATATGGATGTGAAGTCCCTCTCAAATTATTGACGTCCTTTACTGCGGATATCCGTGTTGGAACAAAAACACAAAACGCCACCTTCTATGTAATAGAGAAAGGGACACGTAATATACTAGGCAAAATTACTGCGATTGCATTGGGCGTTCTAAAATTAGGATTGGACATAAATCAGGTTGAGATAGTGCCCTTTCCAAAATTTAAAAATATTCAAATACAAATACCAATTGATAAAGCTGTAAAACCAGTCGCCCAACCCTACCGACGTATACCAATGCCCATAGAAGAAATTTTTTCTAAAAATTCAATACTAAAATAGACGAACTACTTCAAAAGGATATAATAGAAAAGGTAGAAGGACCGACAGAATGGATATCTCCGATGTCTGTCTCTGTATCGACATGAGACGCGCAAATTTGGCAATCAAGCGGGAAAATCATTCTTTACCAACGATGGAACAGCTGCTACCAAAGATCCAAAATGCAAAAATGTTTAGCAAATTAGATATAAAGGATGCTTTCCATCAACTGGAGCTTCTGCCCGACTCACGACACATTACTATATTCATTTGTGGTAAAGGATTATATCGTTTTAAAAGATTAATGTTTGGAATAACTTGTGCGCCGGAAATGTTTCAAAAAACACTCGAAAGAGTGTTAATAGAATGTGAAGGGGTTATCAATTTCATTGACGACATTTTAGTATATGGAAAAGACAAGCAAGAACATGACAAACGTTTACAAAAAGTAAAGGCAACACTTAAGGCAAATAACATAATGTTAAGGGAAGATAAATGTATCTACGCAACAACGAAAGTCCAATTTCTAGGACACGAATTATCTGATGAAGAGATTAGACCACTAGACAAATATTTATCGGCTATAAAAGATTTTAGAACCCCGATCAATATTTCGGATGTACAAAGCTTTTTAGGGCTTATTAACTATATTGGAAAATGGATTTCAAATATGGCTACCCTCACAGAGCCATTGAAGCAATTGCTTCGTCAAGGATCAGCCAGAAACGCTGATATTAGGGGTTCTTGGGGGAAAAGTCAGCAAACAGCCTTTTGTGCTTTAAAGGCTGCTTTGAGTGACATACCAAACCTGGGGTACTACAATGTAGACGATTAAACCATGGTGTTTGCAGATGCTAGTCCGGTCAGACTTGGAGCAATTCTGGTACAGACGAATGAAAGTGGTCCACGTATTATTGCATTTGGAAACAAAACTCTCAGTGATTGCGAATGTCGCTATTGTCAAACCGAAAATGAGGCTTTAGCACTGGTTTGGGCTGTGGAGCACTTCCACAAGTTTCTGTATGGCAAGGAATTTGACCTAATCACTGACCATAAGCCTCTTGAGGTTATATTCGGTCCAAAGTCCAAACCCTGTGCACGGATAGAACGTTGGGTACTGAGACTCCAATCTTATAAATACAATGTCATATACCGTCCAGGAAAAAATAACATAGCCGACCCCTTGTCCAGATTATGTACATTTAAGCATAATGGGACTCAGCAAAAAGATTATGTTCAGGATATAATTGAGCATGCTAGACCAATAGCCGTATCCTTAAAAGATATAGAAGAACATTCAAAGACCGACATTGACATACAAAAAGTAAAACAGGGCATAATTAACAGAAAGTGGGATGACTCAGTGAAGGGATATCAACTATTCGAAAACGAGTTTTGCTTTTTTGGGGACATATTGCTAAGAGGCACTAGAATAGTTATACCAAAACAATTACGACGACTTGTTTTGGACGATGCCCATCCTGGAATAGTCGCAATGCAGTTGAGACTTAGAGCGAAAATATGGTGGCCTAAGTATGATAAGGATGTGGAAAACTTAGTACGGTCCTGTAAAGGGTGTACACTAGTATCGGTACCAAACCCACCACACCCACTCAAAAGGAGAGAATTACCTACCCATAGATCTCTTAGGTCCATTGCCAAGTGGCGATCACCTATTAGTGGTAATTGATTACTACTCAAGGTACAAGGAAATCAAAACTTGTCGAGACATAAGTAGTAAAGAAATGATCCGCTTACTAAAAGAGATTTTTAGCCGCTTGGGACATCCAGTTTCCATAACTTCCGATAACGGAAAACAATTCATTAGCGCAGAGTTCAAGGCTTACTGTCGTGAAAATGATATAAAACTATTTAATTCAATACCTTATTGGCCACAACAGAACGGTGAAGTAGAGCGACAGAACCGGGACATTCTTAAACGTCTCAAAATATGCCAAGTAGAGAGAAAAAGCTGGAAAGAAGCACTGATTGAGTATTTGACTATGTACAGTAGCACCCCACATCGTGTGACGGGAAAATCGCCGGCAAAGCTATTTTTTCAAAGGATGTTTAAGGATAAGATCCCCATGATTGAATACGCGGAACAAAATTTTTAAGGACTTTGATGTAAGGGATAAAGACAAAGAACAAAAAGAAAAAGGGAGAGAATATACTGATAGAAGACGAAGGGCACGCGAAGTAGATATACAGATAGGCGACAAAGTGTATACACTTGAAAAAGAAAGAATACCAACAAATTTAATAAATTGAGTCTAAATTTTGATACAACTACACATGCTGTAAAATCTAAAACCGGTGGAGACGTGGAAGTACAGAATGATGAAACAGTTAAGACGAAACATACTGCATCTAAAGAAAGTAGAGGGTGAATGGAAATCGATTAATAAAGAAATTGATGGAGAGCATTCAGGAATTGCAGTAAAGGAGAGTGCAGAAGAGGATGTTAGAAGCGATTAAAACACTTGCTTAGAAGACCAGAGTTAAAGATATAATGATGTCATCGATATTGATTTTAGGTGGATGTTGTTAGTTTATAAAGTCAGGAATATAATAAAATGATGAATTGGTTAAGTGATTGATCTTTTATTGGTTTTAAAAAATTAAAAGAAGGAAGGGATGTAGTGTATGTGAGTAAAAGAGAGGGAAGCATCATGTCATCTCTGGCGCGCGTGCGACGGTTGACAGCTCAATCGGCTGTGAGCGGTGCGAGCGAGAGGGCGCGCGCGACTAAGAGCCGACAATATTGAAGGATATACCACAGTCACCATCAAAACAAATATAAATATAAAATCACAATGGAGTTAAGTGCATAAACTAAATAATGTTGACAAGATCAAAGGCACGAAGCAAGGGCACGAGGCGCAACCCCACCACCCCCGGACTCGTCGCTCAGCTCCGCCTCGCCGTCGCTGGAACCTAACTACACGACCATCACAGATGCGTCGACACACAGCAGTTGCGTCGAGCTCGAGCGACGAATATTTCTCGCCGCTGACGTCGCCGGCACCTGTACGTCGGCAGGGGAGAGGCCGGCCACCGATGGGCCTGGAAACCAGGGGCCAACGGAGTCCGGGACGGGTCCCCGCTACCGGTGGTTGTGCGCGGCGCATCAATTAATGAGAACGTCATGCGCGCGTATTATGGTGCTACAGAGGGAGGAACTAACCTCACTGCGTACCGTGACAGGATGTTGTCTCTGTTTCAGGTGCTTTAGCCATCTGTCAACGTCTCCGCCCAGCGACTATCGGATCAGGTGCGTGTCATCCAACGCAGCCGCAGACTGGACGATGCTGCACTTAATCGGCTGCGCTTAGAAGCACTACACAACCGGTTCGTCCTCACTTCTTCCCAGTCGGCGAGACAAACACCTCGAGTGGAAAATGTCACACTCGCCACTTCTGTCGCTGACGTGGGGGACGCTAAGGTTGAACAAGTGTGAGTACTCAGTGCAATGAA